TCCTGCAGCTCTCCGCCGGAAACTATATAGTAGTATATTTTCATTCCCGGAAATTAATTACTCCGCCACGCTGGCCACGTAAAACGGGTCTTGGGTCTCTCCACTTCTCCGCGGTACATGTTAACGTTACTGGCAACGTAAGCTGCGTGTCGAAACTTTCGGTCCGGGGGTGTATACAGCCCCGCCACATGTACATCCAGATCTGACTGAAGCCATGCTTGCTCGGTTGATGGCATGTGCCTCAGGAAGTTGCTATCGACCAGCTTCTGAACAGTAGCAGGCGCGATGGGACCTGACTTCACACTCGACACCCGACGTTGTGTGTTGTGGCAAGTTCTACGGAAGACTCCGAGGTGTCAACAGCTTTTTCAGGAGTTGCTAGCCAACCACGAGAAGCATCTCAGCTGTGTGAGGTGTGAAATCGGAGAGGTTGCTGAAAGCTCTCCGCTTTCCAAGGCATGTGCCAGAGCTTCTCGAGGAGCTGCGGGGCATTGCATCTGGTGCCAATGTGTCCAGCGAGCGGCTTTTCGCCATGAGCCTCCAGGAGAAAGCAAAGAACGCGTGTTTCTTTTAAGAGAGCTCATCGCAGCTCATCACTGGCAATGCGGCAGAGCATCTTTGCAGGAGGAGTTGGCATATTGTCAAGAGAATTTGACGGTCACAGCCCGAAGAGTCGACCACTGCACCGAGACTTTGCATACGCTTGGATGGCTTGCGCACTTTTTGGCTTTAATGCTTTCAGCCAGTTTCAGCGAGTTGGTGGCCCAATCACCAAGGATTCTATGCTTTGTTGCAAGACTGCATTTGACCCTGTAGACTTCGGGATTACGAAGTGGGTGTGCGCAGCTGATGCATTCTTACAGTCACATGCGCGGGCGACGAAAGCACAGCTTGTGCTGGCTGAAAGGCAACTCGCAGTACTGTTTTGATGCGCACAACGAGGACGGTGATATGGCTGTTGCGTGCCTGCAGAAAGCTGGAACGAGTGTGCGTGAATGCTAGAGCAAGCTGAATAATGACCTGCCTTCATGGTCTCTGTCTTCCTGGGTAATTGCTCAGGACAAGTGGCTGTTTGCTGCTTTCGTCCAGTTCGGGAAGAGCAGTTTCACTGTTCTAAATTATGCCGGTGATCTACTTGGGGGAATGCCACCTGGCTTGCGTAGTGGCGTGGTGCGGCCAACCTTTGAATTGTTTCTCATTCTGACAGGTCGGCCTTCGCCTTCAACAAGCGGGGCATTGCATTCTCGCTGAATTGGGTCGGTCCGGGAGACTGCGAGGCTAAGTTGCAGACGGCTTTCCTCGTGGTGCTGTTGTTGGCCGTCTGTGGTTGCAACGTTGGTTGGGACAGTTGAGACGCCTCAGATGTGGCCAGCACTGCTGATACTGCGTGATACTGCTGCTGTGCCGCTGCTGCTGCTGCTGTGGCTGCTGCTGCTGCTGCTGCTGTGGTCGTTCTTGGCCACGGTCGCTTTTGCCCGGGAGTTACTAGATCCTTTACAAGACTCTTCGGATGTCATTCCGGAAGCGGACTGCGGGGCGGCGCTCGTCGGTTATGCAGAAACTCCGCGCGTTTTTCCAATCACGTCCTCTCAACACTTCTGTGATTGTGTTTGTTGCGGCCTCGCTAGCCTACAAAGATGGAGATTACTAGGTATTGCGACTTGCAAAGTCAATCCTCACTGTGGGCGCAGAAGCATGCAGAAGCGTTTGTGGAAGCGGTCTAGCGTGTTTTCTAGCGAAGCAACGACTCATCCAAACTTTCGGACTCAGAGGGCCCCTGCTGAAGCAAAATCTCTGGATGGCAAGCTCTCAGAGCCCAATTTTCAACGGACGTTACATGCCGTCAAACCGGAGAGGGCGGCAAGGCGGCAAGATCCTCAAACATGTCAAGAAGGCAATTTTCGCAGCAGACATGCCATCGGCATGAAGTGTCCGCTAACACAGAAGTCCTCAACACAAAGCCGAAACGAAGGATCATGAACCCCCATACCGAACTTCATCCAAGGATCCTGCGGGTCTCGGTCGCAACTTCATCAGCAGGCAGCTGCTGACAGCGAGAGGCCTGTTGCTCTTGACTTTCGGCAATCGGCAGACTGAGCCTGACAAGACGTGAAGCTATCGTGATTTAACAGAAGGCTGCAGGGGCTTAGGTGCACCCAAGTAGACAGAGGCACTGGTGCTGTCTGTCATGTCTTGTGACGGAGCGGCACGACGCGGCAAGCAGGTTGGGACGAGGCCCAGCGCATCATATCCCAGCGACATGCAGCAGGCGGGCAGTTGTCTTAGCATTGATCTGCATGACAGCTTTAAAGCACACCAGAGATAGCTCAGAGTGACATCATTCAGGCCACAACTACCAACTCATGGATTTCAAGAGTCGTCGAATCGCGAATTTCGAGGTTGCTCACGACCAGGCCGGTTAGACACTGACGCATCAAGCGAGGCAGCAGGGCGGTGCAAGGGCTTGCTCTGGCCCTTAGGTGTCTGAAGTGGCCATCGGAAACGCCTTCTTCCATGTCAACCAGTACCAGACGCTGAGCGTCCCCGATCAGACCCCAGGCTGCATTCCAGACGAGCACCAACCCGGGCAATAGAGAGGCAACTTGTATTGTATGCCTCCTTCGTCGCCAACTCATCCAACTCTTTCATGAGCCGAGGATGGTCGGGAACAGCTCCTTGCATCGCTTGGCGCGGCTTCGCATGCTGCCAGCGCCGCAGACGCCACAGGAGCTTTGTCACACTTGCGACAAAGAGAGCGAGCGAGAGAGAAAAGATAAAGAGACTCTGCCGTTTCACACCGCCCGTTGAGGCAAGTTGATGCCTGTTTCTTAGGCTGCAGAAAGCAAGCATGAAAGCGAGGGAGAGAGGGAGAGAGACAGTCATGTGAGCATCGGACTAAACCTCCGGAAGAGGTAATCAGTACTAGAGTGGACACGAGATTGTGGCAAAGTAGGTTTAGTATGACGATAGGGGCCCGACCTATGTTTGGTACGAGCTACTACTACTACTACTACTACTACTACTACTACTACTACTTATTATGCCACTACTAGTGCTGATGCTGCTGCTGGTGCTACTGCTACTACTGCTCCTGCTGCTACCTTTCCTTGTCTTTGCATAGATCCGGTGTTTCAAGCAGCCAGGTCTGTCCTGCAAGGTGTAGCTGCACTTGTGCTGAGGCGGGATCCCATCATGTATCGGATACTGCCCAACACGCCTCATCCGCGAACTGGTAGCGAGGCGCAAGCTTCGAGTCTTGTTGGGCACACACCGAGCCTATCCTAAATGGGAGTTTCCGAAAATTGGGGGTACCTTATTTTGGGGTCCTTAGAATAAGGATCCTACTATTTAGGGTACTATATTGGGGTCCCCTATTTTCGGAAACCCCCAAATACGTTGTGCTGGCAGTGGCCGATCTACCCTTCCTACGACTGGGCGCACGGACTTTCCGACGCCATAGAGGTCGGGAAGGGAATGGAGTACGCGTAGAGCCTGCAACCGTGCATGCTGACACACCGTCCTGCCAGGGAGTCACCCACTCTGTTTGTACACTGGAATTCAACATGCACAATGACTCTCAGATGCATTTTCTGAGCATGCCTTGGCTGACCTGTGTATGACTCATGGCATGACATGCACTTCAGGAGCTGTCGTAGTGCGGTGTTGCAGTTTCACCGGAGTCGCGTAGTCTGCCGCTCAGTTTGGGCTCAGGAATTGTATGATTGGCCGGGCACTCGGAGACGCGATACAGTACGTAGGGTCCAGGCTGCCAAGCCTTGCCTTTCTCCGAGGTTCAACGAGAAGGTGGCAGGCTTGCCCGATGCCCTGCCTCTCTGCCAGCCTCCAAGCTCCGCCCTTCCCAGGCATGGGGTTTCCTGCGCTTGCGTCAGAGCTAAGCAGCTAAGGCCTAGGAAAATAAGAGATTTTTCAACTTACACTCTGCTTTCAGGCAGCATGAGTTTGCGCGATTGGAGATGACTCACATCGTTGTCTCGAAACCTGGCAGCACTGCTGGTCCAGGGATCCCGTAAGGACCACCGAAGTCATGCTGCATCCTGCACCTTGACAAGATGTCTTCATGTTGCTTGAGCCCAGGAAGCGGAAGCTAAAGCTGCTAGGCTGCACTGGACTCCATGCCATTCAACGCATGACAGCTCCGGCCAAGCTGCGATTTTAAGCTTTCGTTGAGTTTGGATTGCCACAGTCCAGGCGCTTGGTGGAGGTCGGCTTCTGGGTGTGCGTGGGTGTTGGCTTCCTCAATCCATGTCCAGTGTCATCCAGTTTCAACAAGCTTTGTTCGCCAGTTTTCTGTGAAAGCGATGCTGCTTCTATGGTCAGGGCGGCTACGTGGAGGGCTGGGACGACCCACGCATGCCGACTATTTCCGGAATGCGGTGGGCCACTCAGATCAGACCGGATCAGGGGCGGCATGCGGTGAATTTGTCAGCAGCTCTAAGGCGGCGAGGTTACCCCCCAGCTGCACTGCGAAAGCTTTGCGAGCTGATCGGAGTTACCAAGGTCGGGAGAGCCATCATTCTTGTCCTCACAGGTGTCTAAGCCGAGTTACTAGTAGTAAGAAGATAGGCGACAAGCAGGTGAAGCACCCTGGCTGTCTTTTCTCTCGGGCTGGCAAGGAGGCTAATTGAACAAGCTGACATAAATCATCCCGTATGTTACGTAAAGCTCAGTGTCGGTTGGAAGCACTGTGTGAGGATGGAAGCTCCGTCGTCCGTCTGTATGTCGGCTTGGCACTGCGGGGGGTAGGAGTTCCCAGACTCCCCGAGTCAGCCCAATCACAGTCCTGTGTCACACTGTGGGGCCTGGGTAGTACGAGTGCTTGTGGGGCAGACAAAGAGGTTCCGACGAGTGTGATTGAGTACACTCTCCTCGAGAACTGCGTTCGAGACGTGCTTCAGGCACGATGCCCACTAGGGATCCTAACATGCTGCGTGTGGTAGTCTTGATCAGTCTTGGGTCAAGTTATGCTCGTGTGAGGAGCAGGTGTCCGAGAAATTGCTGTGTGTGCTGCGGCCACTTCCGGCTGGTGGCTCAGTGGTGCGACAGTAAAAAAAGAGATCGACTCTTCGATGATCGCACTTTCAATCTCTTTCAGAAGACATCAGTATTTGGTATGGCAGCATGGAACTTCCGTCGTCTTCAGGTCACCATCACAAACTGGCCGGAGGGACAAGAGGCACAGTCCACATGATGTCCGCATGTTTCCATACCAACTGAATGACTGAATTTAGATTGCATGCTCTAAGCCTCCCAGACTCTCAGCCCTCAGAAGTGTGATTAGAGCAACTTACATGTGCGGCGTGTGCCCTGGGCTGTGAAGCCAGGACGAGCTGATTGAGGTGCAGCTTTCAGCTGGCAGTGCCGACAGAGCCGTCTACCGTAGTTGGGTGGCACCGACGATGCAACTGTGGGGTGCAAGACCTTGAGCTATGCTTGAGGTGCCCGGTGGCGACTCTGATGCCATGCCGCGGCAGATGCACTTCGGTCGGGACTGATGCCTGAGTCGTTGCTCGGTTGGGGCGCTATTTCTCGGTTGCTTCACTTTTCAGGCTAGATAGCGCTTAGGTCGACGTGGTCATGCTGCACTGGAACTACCACGACGTAAAGACGACGCAAGACACGTACATGTACACAGCGTCATGTTCAGAGAGAGGAGAGTAGTAGTAGCACGCCTGACAACAGCCGATTAGAGATTCAATGTTGCCGTCCCCACGGGCTGAAAGTCTCATCCTGCCGTTAGGACCTCCTCCTGGACATGGAGGACCGCTCGACAGCATCAGCGAGGGATTTGTGTGTTAAGAATACCATGCAACGTGATGCAATATCACATAATTTAACGCAATACACGCTATACTCTAACATAGTATGCAGTTCAACAAGATGTAAAGAAATATAACCGGGTAGAACATACTTTCGGCGTGCAAGATGGAATAGAGCGTAGTACAACGAAATAGAGTATGATATGACGTGACATTTCATGGTGTGATGTGATTGTAATACCATAACGTGTAACATAGTAAAAAGTATGACATAATGTAAAATAACATAATATAACATAATGTGTTATAGTGCAATATACTACAAAAAACATAATGTAGTGTGTCATAGTATAACACAGTAGAATGCAATACGAAATGCTACAGTATAACACAATGTCATATGTGTTTATTAACATCGTTTGGAAACTTTTGTAACATGATGTAGCACAATATAATTACATAGCACAATAGAATACAGTAAAAATATGTTACGATGAATAGAATTCAGTACAATACAGCTTCGTATCATTCGATAGAACATAATATGGTATAATCTAGTATTATGTAATACCATATAGAGTGCTTTAATATATTGCTGTATAAGGCAGTATACTACAGTATAACACAGTCTGTATATATATATATATATATAGAAAATATACACACAGAATTGTGTGTGTATGTATGTATATATGTATGTATGTATGTATGTATGTATGTATGCATGTATGTATGCATGTATGTATGACTTGCCAAAGGCGGTGGTCAACTCTCGGAAGGATTTCCAGGAGGAACCCGAGCCCGGCTTCAAGCGCTTGGCGCCGGGCAGACAGGCCGAGTGTCTTTCGGGTTTGCTGTGTACATAGTTCGAGAAAGGTAGGGTTTGGGTTGTTTGCAGGTTTCATTACGTCAAACTGCCAGGCACACATTCCGGCAGATTCTAGCAACCCAGGCGTTGTTTGCAGGAAAAGCGAAGATGAGCAAGGGCATTAAAGAGTCGTTTCCGTAGACAGTGCGCAAAGGTGCGATTGCTCTAAAAATGCGACAGGTTAAGCTACGATATGGATACGTCATCAAGTGTGACGAGGCATCGGGTCATTCACGTTGGTTTCTTGCGCGAATCTGCTCACCATTCCTTCCGCTGTCCAGAATCGAGGTTGTTCGTGGACCAGATGGCGAAATCCAAGAGCTGCGGTGCTCATACGATCCCGACTCTCTTGGAAAGAGGCCTGGGGATTTGGAGAGGTTGTACGAGTGGTTTTGGTTTCAGTTTTCATCTTTCTGCTTTCGCCTCCGGTGCCGAAGTAGCGAATCTGACAGGAAACTGCGAGGCCCCAGGATCATGCTAAAGCAGTTGAGAAGTTGAGCCAGGCCACCGAAGAAGGTCGCGGTGGTCCACTGGGCACATCAAACCCTGCTTGGCCCTCGATTTGGAAGGCTCTTTTTGGGATTTCGGGGCGCAGAGCTGTGCCAAGGTCGACACCCGTCACCGTCAGGATGTACGACAAGCTGTTCAGTGAGCCAAGACCAGAGGACCCCATGTTGCCATACGGTACCATTCTCCATGATTCATCCGCCTTTGGCAACTCCCAAGTCCAGGAGGCAGGCGACTTCCTGGACGCCTTGAACCCCAAGTCTTGCGAAGTGCTAGCAAGCGCTGTGCCGAGCTTCGTCCGTTCGTTTCTCTGGGCTTGGCGCACACAGCATGGCCAACAACGAGCTCAGAGCATGGGCCAAAAGAGTCAGCGTCTCTTCTCCCCCTTGCTGAGCTTTTTCGAGGTGCCCGATGTGAGCCGAGTGTTGCTGGCATGGTGGAGAAGCACAAGGCCAGACGCACCCAGCAGTGCAGAGACATGTTTGCAAAGTTGCCCCCGCATATCCATGATAGCATATGCCTGCTGGTAATCAGCAGTGATAGTGTTCGGACACCGCAAGGGCGGCAGCTGCAGCAGTAGCAGCAACCAGACAGTGCTCCGAATGCAGAGACGGCTAGAAAGACACCACGCACAACACAAAGCAATGCAATGATATGATGCCGTTCGTACCAATGTTACTACGACGACATACTACCGTGGTCGCAAGACGGTGTACTATACCACCAGTTTCAGACAGTCGAAAAGGCATCTGAAATAGAGCACAGAGCAGTTGGGCAACAATGGAGCTAGATGAGTTAGAATACTTGACATGTATCAACGTGCATAGTTAGGCTTTTTCCGTGCAAAGTCGTCTACTCATGTATGACTGGGATGGTACGACAGCATGAAAACTGCAGCAGTTGAGCAGCAACGTGTGTCTCACCAACAAGACTACACTCAACCGTCATCCTGCATAAATGGACGTGCCATGCGTTTCTCAGTCTGTAGCATGTTGTGCGGTCCTGGCCTCTGCTTTGCGAGGAAAGTGGGGAGGACATTTTCCGGGTGCTTGACCTTAGCACATGCCGCCACGACCAGCTGTGCAAAACCCCACAAGACCACTGTCGCCGTTTTTCTTGTTGTTTCATGTGTCCGTTCTGCCCAAAATTAAATCCTGTGTGCACTTGAAACTCAGCAGACCTTCAGGTTCAGTTCGAGCGGTGCGGCTTCTTCGCGATGGACCCCAAGGTAAGGGCGGCGACGAGACTGCAGGAAACTACGAGTGCCTGTGTTCCTTGCTTCAGGCTTCTTCGGACGGCCTGGTATTCAACTGCACGGTGCCACAGAGGACAACTCGGAGGCACACGACCGGTAAACTGTCACCATGCCTCTGGCCGAAGGAGCGACTTCGGAAAGGCAAAGCAAGTTCGTGGAAAGGCCTCAAAGAAAAAGGCGCGGCAACTGCAAAGAAGGGTGTGTCAAAGTGAAGCGAAGAGCTCTAGGCCGATCCCTTGTCTCCTAAGGCCACCGCCTAGAGTTCCAGAGCTCCCTGGCTGGAGCTCTTTTGAATTGGCCTCGCTCTTCCAATCGGCGTGCTCAGCGATTGATCTTCCTGCTGTGGGCGCCTGTTGTAGATTTCGATTTTCAGCGTTGCCAGTTTTCCATGTGCAAAGATAAAAGATACCTGTCAGCTGTCGGGGCAAAGTACGCGCTCAGAACCGGGCTTCTTTGGGAATCGGGATTTTTTGGATCTCGCCGCGCTCTCTGGGCAGCTAACCTCCTCGCCGTGCTTGGCTCCGCAGGGTTTCCTTAGTGCTGTGGTCGAAAGTGCTTGTAGGGGTTCGCACAGCAGCAGTACGGTCAAAGGGAACAATCCGCGAGTCGTGACCTCAAGCCAACCAACAAGCACCACTTCAAATTAGCACCATGTATCGACAGAAGCTCAATTCGGGGAACTGGTTAAACTCCGTGCACCATCCCAAGTAGCTCGAAACGGCCGCCGCATCTCCAGTTGCGCAGCAGGCGCTATATGCATGGGAGCCGCTGTTTTTGATGGCCCAAAACAAGCTGACGGAAGCGGCATGAACTATGCGAAGATTCAAACGATACTCCCAAGCCATCCCTCGTCCTCAATCGTCTCCCCACAATCCCCAGCCTGATATGCCCGAAGGCCCCCTAACCAAGCCGGCAAGGTCTTTGGAAGGCCTGCTGTCATGTCGACTGCATTCGCGGTGCCGCGGCCGTCGCCGGGAGCTTTCTGACATGTTTCTGATTATTTGTGCAAGTATGTGCAGGAAACATGAGGCAACACGTGTTAGCACCGGCATGATTGCAGTACATTGCATCAGAGGCATTAGAGGCAAAGCATCCATAGCTGCAGGTTAATTGATTTGAAGGCACTTCCTGCCCAGGCGCAGTTGACTCTTGCATGCTCTTGAACAGCAACACGCTGAGCTAGCGATTTGGGCATGCAGGCGTCCTGCCGCAAGAGCAGATGCCAGAGCTCTTCGCGGGAACTGTCAAGCACAGAGCACGGGAGGCTAGTTTGTCCGCTTGCACCCGGTTCATTTTGGAAATACACGCAGTCGCGAGAGGCACATCGGGGCGGCAGCCGCAGTCTTGTACTGCCTGCGACGGGGGACGAAAATCGCAAGGCAGGCGCAGCGATCCCGCTGAAGCCTCGGATCTGGAGCCCGACACACCCCGACATCGAGACTTTCGAAACTTCTGATGCCCTCGACGAGGAGAGCAAGCCATCAGCGCTGCCGTCAACATCGCGCGGGATAGTACTCGCCGCGGTCGCGGACGAATGAGCATGCAGGTGGCTGAAAGCCTTCAGCTCGCCAAGCTGCCCAGAAATTCCGGAAGTGTCAGGAGCGCAAGAAGCTCCGTATGATGGAAGTTCAGCGGAAGATCCGGGTCGGCCCGCCAAAGCACCAACTTTCGCTGCTTCTTGGTGGAATTCGCAATGTCCCAGCAAAACAGGTCTTGAAAGGAACGAGAGCGGCTCCTGCCTCAGCTTACACTCGCCTGGTCTCATATTTCACAGGCCCATGCAAGCAGGATAGGCGTTTTCCTGCGGGAGGTGGTCTGCTGCGCTCCTACTCAGGTCCCCGGGAAGCCTGACAAAGATGCCAGAAGCCTAGGGATTCAGAGTTGCTTCCCTTTCTGTGGAATGTTCGCTTATAGGAAAGAGACATGTCAATAAGAAGGGACGCAAAGATACATAAGGGAGTTCGTTCTCTCTGCTTTGCAGCATGCTTGGCGTGGGGTGCTAGGCGTCTAGCGACGACGATACCAGCAACGAAGATTCTGCTGATGATGAGGAGGCAGCAGCGCAAGCCCGAGGAATTGCTTGCACTGGCATGAGCAATTACCCATTGCATCGGAAGATCCTAGAGTTGCGGAGCTTGCGATTCATGAAGCGGGCAATTTTGCAATGGGCAGATCCTGCCAACCAAAGTACGGGTCCTCAGATAGGTTGCCGCCACGTTGGGAACAGTAATTTAGGCAAACTCCCAGGAGGGTGCCCAGAGTCTAGAGGCCTTTTGGCAGACCATAAGCTGTAATCCTTCAACGTCGGCCAGCAAACATTCTTTGTTGGACCATGTCATGGATGGGTCCGTTTGATTTTGAGATCAGACGATTTACAGTCTAGAGCGTACCTGGGCACCAGCAAAGTGCTGCCTCTGCTCAACTAAAGTTCCTCGTTGTGGGTATCCGGTATCCTAGACAAGCTCTATGCCAGCTAACAGCTAACTTGATTGAACGTTTTTCATAACGGAAATTGTTGACCAAACTTATTTTTTCGATAATGGTGGCATGAAGCAGTGGCACAAATCTGGGTTGTGTGTGACGCGTTTACCGCAAGTCTTTTAAAATGAAAGTATCATGTCACGACAGCACAGCACACAGCAAGCGATGATTCTTGCATTTTCCACAAAACTGCGCAAATAACACGAACACTGATGGATTTGCTGCCTACCCAGAGATGATGCCGATGTGGCTGAGCCTTGGGATCCTTGCTTTGTGCTCGGTGCCTTGTTGTGGTTTGCACTCCTTCAGCAATAGAGCTGAGCTGCGAGCAGCTGTTGCCAGTTGGGACGATGCCGGCACAAGGTCTGAGCTTGTCTCGCGGTATGGACACATCGCAGCATGGGACGTTTCCTCCGTGACCTCCATGGCAAGACTCTTCAAAGGTCTACTGTATTTTAACGAAGATATAGGCCGTTGGAACACTTCTGCTGTCACTGACATGAGTGAAATGTTCCAGGAAGCTCAGGCATTCAATCAAGCCATTGGATCTTGGGATACTTCAGCCGTTGTCAACATGAGTGGCATGTTTACAGGTGCCAGAGCCTTCAACTCAGATATAGGCTCCTGGAATACATCCTCAGTGCGGAACATGAGCTACATGTTTGCCAATGCCTCCATATTCAACCGAGCCGTCGGCTCTTGGGATACTAGGCTGTTCTTACTTTTTGGGTTTCTGGGTTAACCCCAAAAAGTATATACTGTTTTCCAGGCAGTCATCGAACAGCCTAGGATACCTCCTCAGTCACCGACATGCGATACATGTTCTTGTACCAGCCGCTCGTGCAGACTTTCGCACCTGGCAATCTCTTGGATACCTCGGACTTCAACCAGGACTTGGTTGAACTTCAGTGTCACTTTATAGCTTTATCACTTTTCGGACTAGTTTTTTTGATATTAAGCTACTAAAGTACTAAAGTTAAAAAATTTAGCGAGGTAGTAAAGAGCACCCTCGAGGACATTGACGCGTGGGACACTTCTGCCGTCACTGACATGAGGGGCATGTTCAGCAAGGCTAGGTCCTTCGACAGGGCCATTGGCTCTTGGAACACTACAGCAGTGACAAACATGAGCTACATGTTCTCAGAGGCTTGGACTTTCAACCAAGATATAAGCTTCTGGGACACGTCATCAGTCAGGGACATGCGATGGATGTTCCAGGACACCCGGGCCTTTAATCAAGCTATCGACTCTTGGAACACTTCGGCGGTGACAAGTATGTGCGGAATGTTCAGCTATGCTAATTTCAACCGACCCATTGGATCTTGGAGCGCCGGCGCCGTGGGGCCGTGACCGACATGAGCTACATGTTCGAAAATGCCCAGAAGTTTGACCAAACCATCGGCTCCTGGAACACGTCATCCGTCGCAGACATGGCTTACATGTTCAGCGCTACTGCCTTTTCACAGGCCATCGATTGCTGGGATACCTCGTCAGTTATCAGCATGAGCCACATGTTTGATTCCTCCGACTTCAACCAGCACATTGGCTCATGGAACACCTCCCCTGTAAAGAGCATGAACAGCATGTTCAGGTATGCCTCCAGCTTTAATCAAGACATTGGCTCATGGGATACCTCCGCCGTCGAGGACGGGTAGCAGGGTTAGTTGCAATATTTTTAGTTGTAACCTTGTTTCTTACTTGTACCCTTTAGGGTTTCAGGGCCGCACCCTAAAACTTCCTAAACTGTCGAGTGCGCCATCGACAACTTCCGTGTGCGTTTGAGCCTTCGACCAAGGGCCCTGCCCTAGCGTCTTTACAGACAGTCAGGGAGAGTAAAGCCTCCCAGTATACGAAATGACGTAGGCGTGTCAGGCGTTAGCCTGTAAGGAAGAACTTCACGGTTGAATTGAAGTGTTTGAGGTTCCTTGGGGGTCCCAGGATTTTGAGAACAGGTAAGGTGGTTGGGGTGGGCAACAAAGCCAAGCGAGCGCACACCCTGAACCCTAAACCCTGAACAATAAACCCTTTGCGTTAAACGCTAAACCCCAAAGCTAAATCCTCAACCCTTAACCCTGAACTCTACAAGCTGGCATGGACAAGTAAGAAAATGGTAACTAAGCGGGTTTCCTCGAGGACATGTCTCACATGTTCCAGGGGGCCGCAGCCTTCAACAAAGCCATCCAGTCTTGGAATACCTCAGCAGTGATTTCCATGTACGACATGTTTAGCGAGGCTGCTGCGTTCAACCAAGATATTGGCTACTGGGACACCTCTTCAGTGACATGGATGGCGAGCATGTTTTATGAGGCTGTGTCCTTCAACAAAGACATCGGGGCATGGGATACATCGTCTGTGCTCAACATGCGCAATATGTTTGCGCGCGCTCGGTCTTTCAACCAAAGCATCGCCGCATGGGATACTTCATCGGTCGAAGACATGGACAGGATGTTCTTTGATGCCTCAGCTTTCAACCAAGACATTGGGTCCTGGGACACCTCGGCAGTGAAGGATATGGGTTGGACGTTTATGGGTGCCAAGGCCTTCAACAAACCTATTGGCTCTTGGGACACATCAGCAGTGACGCTGATGGAGCGAATGTTTCAGGATGCTGTTTCTTTCAACCAAGATATCAGTGCATGGGATACTTCCTCAGTCACAAGCATGTTTGCTATGTTCTGGGGCGCTGCAGCTTTTGATCAGGCGATCGGGGCTTGGGATACTTCGTCTGTCGAAGACATGGACAACATGTTCCAGAATGCCGTGTCTTTCAGCCACAGTTTAAGCTCTTGGGACGTCTCCCAGTTGCGTTCCAAGGATGCCATGTTTCAGGGAGCAGCTGCATTCGACGAGAAACCCTGTGAGGCTGGATTCTTTCCTGCTCGCAACCTGCTTGGCTGCGAAATGTGCCAGCCAGGAAAGTTTTCTGGGCCAAGTGCTTCTTACTGCAACCCTTGCGGTCCAGGTTCAGTTCCCGTGCCAGATCGCAGCAGTTGCGCGCCATGCCCGGCACTGCATGTGGCTGAAGTAGACACTTGCAAAGCATGCGGACTCCCTCACCTGGTGTTTCAGGATGAATGTATTTGGTGGCACCTGCCTTTAATTGCACTGGGGGTTGTCATCGTGCTGGTGTGCTTGAACCTGGTGGCTATGTACCGGCGGGCACGCAGGACGAAGCGGATCGAGGGAGTCCTAAACCATCTTTATGACGATTTGTGGGAAGAGATACCAGAAACATTTCACCACCATCATGCCGTTTTAGAAAAACTTGGTGCTGATAAGTCCTACGTTGACCAGCGTGTTCTTGAAATGCGTGCCCGGCAAAGCAACCTCGCTGGAGTCAGCATGCGTTATCTGCTCTCAGCGGATTTTGCGCAGTTGGCAAGGCAGCGCGCTGGAAAGGACGATCCAACTTTCGTTGACTTGAAAACGTCGTTTTGGCTCGCCGAGAACCCAATCGGGCAGAATGTGCTTTGTCCACGTGATGGCAGACCAGGTTGTGCGCTGGTCGACTGGCTGCCACGCAGGGATCGTCACGAGCAGACCCACTTCATGTCATGGACATGGCGATATAGCATTGGGCAGATGAAGAGTGCCCTTCGTATGTACCAGAGCACGGCTGTCCCAGCTATCCTGCCAGAGAAAGTGTTCTTTTTTATGTGCTTTTTTGTTAACAACCAGTTTCGATTGATCGTTGAAGCATGCAGCGCTGGAAGCGACAACCTGGAGGATGTCTTTGAGAGTAACCTCTTACGGATAGGCCGCGTTGTAGCGGTTCTGGATACCTGGGATGAGCCGGTATATTTGTCCAGAATTTGGACAGTGTACGAGCAGTTTGTCGCTTCCAAGCTGAAGATTCCAGTGGTGTTTGTGATGCCGGAGCGGGCTACGAATCTCTTACATGAGCAGATAGATCGTGGCAGGCAAGGTATCCGCGCCGTGACGCAGTCCGTAAGCAGGGTCGACTCAGAAAGGGCCGAGGCTTTCTACAAGGAGGATGAGACCAACGTGAAACGAATGATTCGGGAAAGCGTCGGTTTTGCTCATGTGGACAGCCACCGGGTCATAGTTAGAAAACATATTACTTTTAAGCTAGAGAAGACCCTAGTATGGAATAAAAAACTCATTTTCGAAATGGCGCAAACAAGAACTCAGGCCATGTGACGGAGGCGATGGCACGCTGGATCGGAGGAGTTGTGAGTAAGAATTTCCATGAGCTCATAGACCAGTCTCGCCACGACCGGACGCTCCGGCCAGTGATTCCTCTTTGATTGTTGGGCACGCAGCTATGAATTTTTGGGAACAATAGGGGTCCCCTGATGTATCCCAAATATGAGGACTTCAGTATGGAACTAACAGCAAGGGGCCTACAGCTTGAGATATGCTCAGGTGTTTTATGCATCCCGGAATTCGCGTAGCTCAGGCCAAGAGAGCCACTGGTTGGCACGTGAAGTTAAAGATGCGAGATGCCTTTCCCCGAAATTGACATTGAACGCCATATAGCTTGGGTACTGCCCATACAGTACCCTAGTGTTTGCAGGGTCCTTCTCGTGGTTTCACACCTAGGTGATTCAAGAACGGTTGGCAACACACACTAAGTTGAACCTGAGACTTCCCCAAACCCTACGCAGGAAGACACCTGAACCTAAACCCTAAATCCAAAACCCTCAACCCTCAGCCCTATGCGGCGATCGAGACTCGCCACAAGATGGAAGACGCCCTACACAGGTGCGATTGGAATGGAACCCAGAGTAGGGATCATCTTAAACACTAGGACTGCAATAAGCACTGCAGTAAAGACCTCAATGAGGGACATTCATTTTGTAGACTTACAAACAAGCGCTGCAATAAGGACTCTAGTACAAGCTAGAGCCGTACTAGAGCCGCGAACAGCCAACATCAAGTGGATTCAGGCAGCAGCGTCCAAAAAGCCCTGAGCAGAGCGGCTGAGTCCCTGACCGCACAGGGCTCCGGCGGAAGCAGCTCAAGTAGCGCCCCTGTGAACGAAGATGAAGCCGGCGAGGGCCAGGACGTCCATTGAGTCTTCAGGTTTGCACCTCTCAAACATCTGATGTTCCATCGTGCTGCTTCGCACCACGATGGACTCAAGGGTAGGTCACCTTGGATGTCGTTTTTCTCGTAGCATCTCCCCTTTTCCAGACTTTGCCAGCCTCTGCGTCTTTGTGAATCTCTGTTCCCTGCAGGAGAATTGGGCCTTCAAGAGGGAGGACAAGAGCAAATCGTAGGATGCTCAAAATCATAAGCATGGCCGCAGCTTCCATATTGAAAGCATTGAGTCTGAGTCTGGCTCCTAGGTCCTTCAAGCGACGCCCCGCGCTTGGCCGAAGCGCCGTGCTTTCGGATGCGGGGGATCCAACAGCCGAGGCCCCCTTCAGGTGAGTGATGATGCCAGGGCGGTCGCAGAAACAGAGCTTTACGGCATGCAGCTCGGAGATTCCTCGTAAAGGTCTTAAAGGTGCACGCGCGGAGATGAAAACCGTTCTGGACTCGAATCTCGGGATCGGTGACGTCTTGATGCCCATAAGGTCAGGGCGGCATCGCAACATCCAAGCAGTTGCTCGACGCAGGGCGTGAGTTCATGTTTGCGAAAGACTGGGAGAAGGCACCGGCCATCGTGTGCACCGAAGCAGTTTCACCCGCAGCCTGTGCCCAAGGCCGCAGACTTGCTCGAGCTCGTCAGTGACCGAATAAGCAAGGACCTGCATGCGGGCATGGACAGGTCAGGCCAGGCCGTTGAGGCAGGGGGTGAGTTTGGAAAGCTTCTGCAACCTGGTTAGCGAATGGGTCTCAATGAATGAAAGAATGAATGAACCCATGATATCCGTGGAAGCTTGAAAACATCCTGAACCCTTGAGTCCCAACCCGGAACCCCGAGTTCTAAGCATCCCCCTTCGCCCCACACGGAGGCCGGCCCAGATGCACATTGCTGAGAGAAAAGACCCGACATAACACAAGCGATCTGCATCATATAACATGTGTTACTATATATATATATATATATAGTTGTTGTATAGTAGAATGCAACATAGTCTAATATGCTTCCTCCAGGAGCAGCTGAGTCGCAAACTGGACTACAAGGTCGCTCAAGCTATCGATGACGAGGTGCTTTTGGTTCGCAGTTCGTGGAGCTCAAATTTGGGAAACGAATTGGCAGTTTTGGGGGTGTTAAACTACAGGAGATGCCTGCGAGCACGTGAAGTCTTAATTTGGGCTAACAGGGGCCGAAGCCCGACTCTTGCTGGCAGGCGACTGAGACGCTCGCGATGGTCTACGCAGACTCGGGAAGGCTGCTTGACTTCGTTAGACTGTTATGACAGACTTTCGTGAAGGGTCTTTGTTAGAAAATGCCAGACCGAGACTGGATGTTCACGGCCACACTATGCCTGTCAAGTTCCTTGCGCTTGTGGAAGAGATGTACATAATCTAAGCGTATGCCTTTGGAGCCACAAGCAGCTTCGAGAAGGGCCCCCGCCCACTCCTGTCTCCATGTTCAGCTCCGAGAGCCCTGCGTTTCTTGGACACTTGGTTCAGCGTAACCAAGAGCCTTTTGCATCCCAAGGCTGTCCTTGGCCTTCAACACCTACGATGTGCTCAGGCCAACCTCAGCCGCAAGCGCAATCCTCTTGCTCTGCTGATTTGGTCAGGACGCGTGTTGCAGATCCTGAAGTGCGGAAGCGAGCTGAGGTGGGACGTAGAAACTTGGCGAGCGCATGGGAAAACTTCTCTGTAAGCTTGGCAAAGGTTGGTTGGATCCAGACTGCCGTGAGGATATCTGAGAGCTTGCAGAAGGCCCGACTCTGACCTAGCTGCCCTCGTTGCGGCTCGAACAAGGCTTGACTTCGAATCTTCAGGAGTTCAGGTTCGATCAATGTCTCGAGCTGCTCCTGACAGTTCGTGTCTTGCCGGCGCGGTTCTCACATGCCACGGTGGCCTTTCGGCCATATCCGGGTCTCACAACCCGGATGTGGCAAAAAAGATGGAAAGTTAGTGCTTGGTGTTACGTGGCCATGTATAAGCTAGCTGCCCATGCTTGTGTTTACAGGCAGCGATCTCATGATCTGAGTCGGATAACTGACGCCATGTAGTGACTTGTCAATACTTGTCATTGTAGATACCCCATCAAATATGTATAGCTGAGCTGGGCAGTCGGACGCTCACGTTGTGGTCGCGGCACGGCTGCCCGGTGTGCCCAATAGTCCCAATAGTTGACATAGACGAGATGACTGAACTCATCAAACGTCAGCATTCAGGCATGCCGGATGTATTGTTCACAGGTTTCGAGTGATCTTGATCTAGCAGCAGCAGCCACAGAAAGTGCTTGGCTGTCTCTAACTCTGTTTCTCTCTGCGTCGGTTCCTGTCTACAAAGAAACGAACGTTCACGCTCGTACGTCGTATTGAGACGTGTACTGACGCCAACAACCCGCAGTCATCCTGCGAAAAACATGCGGATTTCCGAACATAGGGGACCCTAATATAGTACCCTAAATAGTAGGACCCTTATAATAAGGACCCCATAATAGGGGACCTTATTATAGTACCCTAAATAGTAGGATCCCTATTATAAGGACCCCAAAGTAAGGTATCCCCTTATTTTCGGAAAGTCCTACATTGCCTGATGGCCAGGAGCTGGCCCAGAGTCGGGTTGCCGGCAACAAGCTCAAGGAGGACGACGCAATGAGAATAATATAATGCAATATAAGACAATATAATGTAATATAATATAATATAACATAATATAATGTAATATAATATAATATAATATAATATACTATACTATAATATAATATAATATAACATAATATAATGTAATATAATATAATATAATATAATATACTATAATATAATATAATACAATATAATATACTATAATATAATAGAGTATAATAAAATATAATTTAGCCCAGCATCAGGGGCGGCATCTCAGATCTCTCTGGAGAACCAGCCTGGAACTGATCCTGCGCAAACTTTGCCACGCGCCGGCGGATGCTGAGCCAATCCGCTGGTCTGAGTATGGTCTGCAAGCATGGCATGCACGAGTGAATGTCATTGGGCAGGTTCTTGTCTCGCTTGAACTTGGCGTGCACTTGCAGCACATCCTGCTGGTCCGTACTGGCATCCACGAGCCTAACTTCCCCGATAAGCCAGGAAAATTAGAGGTTAAACTCTCAGGTTACTACTAAACTATAAGAACCCAACAAGGTTAAAGGATGGGTACTGGAGAACTACCTTAAGAACCCCAAACCTACTTTTTTGTAGGGTCCCTATAAATCCCATATTAGGATTTATAATAAGAACCTACAAAAAAGTGGGTTTTGGGTTCTTAAGGTAAGAAGCATCGTCAGTTCGCGCAGTTCGGGCACGGGATGTACCCTGCACAGCATCGAGCTGCCCAGACTATGCTTCGAACAGCCACCCTCCGAGTCTGGAGCGGCGGACATGCGATCCTGGTTTAGGGTTAGGTTTAGGGTTTAGGGAGGGTTTAGGGTTTAGGGTTTAGGGGTTAGGTCCTGAACATCATCCGCTTCCGAGTACACCGAGAGCGCTTCTGGAATCGCTCCGAGAGTTGCATCCGGCTGTATCCTCGTATCCTTTCTTCCCCAACAAGCCACAAACCCTAAACCCTAAACCCTAAACCCTAAACTCTAAGCCCTAAACCCTAAACCCTAAACCCTAAACCCTAAACCGTAAAATAGCAGGTTTAACTTTCCGAGTACTACTGAAGAGCTTAGTAGACTAAAGGAACCCAAAAAAGCATAAAGGTTGGGTATAGGAGAGTATCTGAGTCTTCCGTAAACGCCAGAAGGTGAAGAGGCCCTGCAGCATCCAAAAAGCGTGGCACGGGAACATGGAAAATATCCACGCCAACCCGGGAATACGCACTAGGCAGTGAGACGCGCAAGCACGGGGGAATGCTGCAACTGTTCTCCTTTTCCTCCTTCTGGCGGGGACTTTGGCTTGCGCTGCATGATTTCCGGACGAATTTCTCGAACTCCGTTTTTCCGTCCTGGTCGAGTAGGTCGGTAAACTTCACGCCTTGAAGATCGGTGGGCGTCGCGAGGACGCGTCTCAGGCGAGTGTTATCCCCGACGATTTTGAAACCATCATCCAGCAGCACGTCCGCATCGCAGACACTTCGCAAGACTCGCTGGAAGCCTTCCAAAGAGAGATTCGCATCGGCCGACTGCAGTGAAGCTCTGACGCTGGTTCGCGCCCGGTCCTGGACCATAATTGCGACTCCACATACCAAGAGCAGAATCGCAGCTTGAGCACAGAGGAAGTGCCCGGGAGGACCGCGGCGGGCTGCTCCCTCAAGGCAGAAGTAGCATGCAACTTCCACCACACAAACGAAAGTCTGACATGGGATGATCAGCGGCGGGTCGTGAATGAGGGCACCCACAAAGATGCGGACGGCCCCCGAGTAAACCGAGTGGAAATTGTAATCCGCTTCCTCTGCAAATAAGTGAATGTTGATGACGTAGGAGGCGTGACCAACATGAGAGAGGACATTGAGCAATCGAAGCGTTTGGAAAGAGACATTCCATCTCGCCAGCCAGCAGGCGGCTAGATATTGCATGAAGACCACCAAAAACCTGGATTCTTGAGAAAGGATTTAAATCAATTTAACTACTTAAACTGAATCCCTTACTATAACAAGAGCCCAGAAACTGGACTATGGAGGCAACGTCCGGCTGCTGCTGCAAGCGGTACGCGTGAATCACGACGGAGACCACCGCGAAGTGCGACACGTATCTTAGAACTTGCTGGTAGTGTTCCATCATCATCTTCTTCCTTACTTCCCCAATAGGCGACGCAAAATACAAGGTTATACTTTCAGATTACTACTAGATTATATATATATATATAAACTTTAAACCCTAAACCCTAAACCCAAAAAAGGCTGAAAGCCTGGGTAATGGGGGAACTAAGCTTCATGGCATCTTCCATGAGCCGATCTTGCAACTCCGGCTTCTTCAACTTCTCTGATCTTCTCTGAATCCAGCTCAAACCTGGGTTTAGGTTTCAGGGTTTTGGGACTTAGGGTTTAGGGTTTAGGGTTCAGGGTTTAGGGTTTAGGATTCAGAAGCCCTATAAAATTTATTAAATTCTTATATGGGTTATATAGGGGTTTTATAGTCCTTCAAACTTAAACATAATTTCCAAGAACACCCCAGAAACAGGCTGCCGACACGCCCTCCAAATCCCAGCCTGCCAAAGTGGCGTGGACAGAGAGGAAAACGATGACGCAGGCCACAGCTGCCGGAGCCGGAAGCATTGGGCTTTGGGGTTTAGGGCCCTAAACCCTAGACCCTAAACCCTAAACCCTAAACCCTAGAACTCTCCGAAAAAAAACGCCGAAGGAGGCGCTGCTCTACGGGAGCCTACCAGCTTCGAGCCCAGAGATCCCGAGAAGAAGTCAGAGTCGCGCTTGTCTTGAGTGGAGCCGGCTTACGTTTTAAGTTTAGGGTTTAGGGTTTAGGGTTTAGGGTTTAGGGTTTAGGGGCATGCACAC